TGAGCTTGATGTCCCCTGTACTATGGTCCTGAGCCCACAGGGCCAAGTACTCGCTCCCTGTGGGTAACTGGCTATGGCCAAGAAGTCACTACAGCCTTGTCCCTTGTCAGCTGTACTGTGTATTTGGGAATTCTTACAGAACATACAAATATGCTTGTATCTGTCCACCTGTATATCCATGTTTGCCTTCACTGACAATGAGAAGGTGCCAGTTTTAAGCCACAGAGCTTAATATGAAACTAGTCGGTGCCGTCACAAGTCCTCCTAAGTGCGCTGTATGCAAGAAACACTGGGCTTGTGAACACAGGCCTTGCGCCCTTGTTTAGCTGATGGGCTTTCTCATGGGTGAGGTGCATCAGGGGCCTGTTCAGGTCTTTTCCTGCACCCTGCTCTCTGTGCGTTCATGGTCTGGCCTGTGCTGCTCTTCTGGTTTGGTGTGGTTTTTCTCTCTTGCTCCTTGTTGTTGCTGTTGACAGTTACTTGTCACTGTCATTCCAGCACAGCGTCTTTCCAGCCTAGTGTGATGGAAGGAACATGAGTTTGGCATCTGTTTTGGTTCCCTAGTGCTGCTCTGACAAGAATATACCACAAATGGGATGGCCTTAACAAAGAAGAGTTTATTCTCTTACAGTTTGGATGTTTTAAGTCCAAGTTCGAAGTGCCAGGCTCTGGGGGCTGGGTGAAAGCTTCAGCTCTGCCTCCTGCTCCTGGCCCACTGGAGCTAGAGGCTTTTCTTCACTCAGACAGCTGCTAGCTGCTGAGGCTGCCAAGCCCAAGGTTGACAAGTAAAAAAGGTAGAGTCCTGATGTTAACAAACCGCACAGCAGGCCATTAACTTAAGTCCATTGTAAGTCCCAAGGTCAGCAGAGCATAGCAGGCTGCTGAGCAACGACATGGCTACGTGCACTGTCCAAGCGTGCCACAGGCTAGAGACCATTTTCCAAGGCTTCTCCTTCTATACAGGAAGCAGACCACATTCCCAAGGCAGCTACTCAGCTGCTCCCAGTAGATTCCACCATGGAGTTGATGACCAGTCTCATCATGGGGAATCCTACATCCAGCTGCCCAGCCACTCAGCCAGGCTCAGCCAATTTGACACAAAAACATAACCACCACAACATCCATCACTGAGTTTCCAGCCCCAGCTCTGCTAAGTTTCATCTGTGTGAGTGGTCTCAAGGAGGTGTCTGACCACTTTGAGGATTGGTCTCAGCTGGATCCTCATGCAGTCCAGTGCCTCTCACGTGGAATTTGGAATGAGCGCTAACACCTCTGTCCAGCACAGTGCCTGGCACGTGGCGATGGGATATCGATTCCCTGTTTGCCACACCTGGGCCACGGTGGGCCTGGAAACCGGAAGCTCAGAGCTGCTTAAGCTACCTCTGCACCAGCAGGCGCCCACCTGCTCAGGGAGTCAGGGCTTCCGTGTGCATTTCCTGGCTTGAGCTCCCGTTGAGCAGTTCAGAAACCACCGTAGGCTTCTCCTCGTTCTCCGAGTGTTTCTGGAATGGTGAAATTAGTGGATGCCAGGAGAGTGCGGGTGTTAGGGTGGGGGCAGTTGCCCCTGAGTCAGTTCCAGCCCCTAGTGAGCCCGTGCACAGCTGCAGGAGCACTGTGCGCTGCTGTGCCGTCCTCACGGTCACGGCCACACTGGAACGATCGCTGCAGCGGCTGTGTCAGTCCATCCCCTCGAGGATCTTCCTCTTTACTGTTGACCTGCTGCCTTCCCCAGCACGACGTCCTTCTCCGAGGACTGGTCCCTCCTGATGACAAGTGCAAAGCACCAGGGCTCAGGCCTCGCCGTCCTCGCTGCTAAGAAGCGTCCAGCCGGGCCTCCTTGAGACAGATGTGCTCCTCGTTCTGGCACTGCCCCGTCTGTTCAGGGTTCTCCTCCAGCACCACGGTTCAAATGCATCGAATCCCTTCCCATCGTCCTTATTCACTGTCCGGCTTTCACGTGCCTAGGAAGCAACTGAAAACACCATGGCTGGGTCAGGGGCCACCTTCTCCTCAAAGTGCTGTCTTTGCTTTTGAGTGCTTTGAAGCGGTCTTTTGCGGCAGAATTGCCCCGTGCAGCATGGCATTTGATTTCCTAACTGGGACAGTACTGGCTAACTCTGCTGGCTCTGCTGCTGCTGTTGTTATGTGCCGCTGGGTCGGACCCAACTCTTAGCGACCCCTCCTTGGGTTTCCGAGGTGGTATCTCTATGGAAGTAGATTGCCCAACTTTCCTTCCGAGGAATGGCTGGTGAGTTAGAACCACCAGCCTTCTAGTTAGCAGTCAAGTGCCTTAGGCACTATGCTACCAGCAGTACAAGTTAAACACGTACTCCCGTGCCTGGCTTTCCCAAGTGCTCAATACGCAGTGCTCTTCCTGGGAGCTGTGGTGGTGGTTATCATTGCTACTGTCCCCACCGTTGTCTTATACAAACGTCAGCTCATGTTATCTTCCTTGAACATCGTTTGAAATTGTGGTAAAATCTTAATTGTTCTCCAGTGTACAATCCAGTGGCATCAATTATGTGCAGTGCTGGGCACCCATCACCATCACTGCGCTTATGTATAGGACGTTCCCCTCACTCCACAGAAGCTCTGTGCCCAGTAAGCCATGCTCCTCACTCCTCCTTCCCAGCCTCTCCTGGTGACCACTCGTCCACTTCCTGTGGCCATCATACAGTCGTCACCCTCTGTGCTGGCTTATCCCACCTAGTGGGGTATTTTTCAGGGTTCACCCATGTCACAGCATCTATTAGAGCTCCATTTCTTCTTGTGGCTGAACAACGTCTCGTCGTGTGGGTGGCCCACCTCCTGCTCGTCCGTTCGTCAGTTGACGGGCATCTGAGCCATGTGCCCCTGTGGGCTCCTGTGAGCAGTGCTGCTGTGACCATGGTTGGACGCGTGTCTGCCGGCGTCCCTGCTTTCGAGTCTCTGGGTGCACGTGCAGGAGAGGCGCTGCTGGCCGTGTGGTGATTCTCTCCCTGCAGACCTTCTGCAACAGCTGTGCACGAGGGTGCCGGCTTCTCCATGGCCCCACCAACACTTGCCATTGTTGTTATTGTTGAAATAATAGCCATCCTAGTGGGGTATGTAAACATTTTGAAAAGTTTTCTTATCTTCAGTTTCTTAACCCAGCACTCAGAGAAGTTTGCCATCTGGCTTGCTGCCATGGCGGGGGGGTGCGTGGGACACAGGTACACGACAGTGCAGACCAGCCGCACAGGCTCCCGTGCCCCTCTCTCTGACCTGCCTGGGTTCCCCCACCCCGGGCTTGTCTGGATATCAGTCTCTCCGGGACCTTTCTCCTGGCATAGCCCTGGGCTTGTGTCTGTGGTGTGAGCCATGTGTGTGTTGCGTGGTCGCCGTCCCGAGCCCTGGCGCTGTCTGTGCCTGGTGCACCGGGCGGGGCTCTCAGCAGATGCTCAGTGGACGTCCTTCTGCCGTCAGGTCCTAGGTGCTGACCACGGACAGGTGACTTCATCTTTGTGAACGTCCACTCGTTATTCAGACGAGGAGGCTTGGCACGGAGCGTTGATTCAGAAAAAGGGAGCTGGTGAGGCATCCCGGAGGGTGGAGCACTGAGCTGCTGCCATGGGCTGGGGACACAGGAGGAGGCATTAGCAGAGTGGACGCTGGGCCCTGTGCTGGAGCTGACAACATGGTGGGCTGCCCAGCAGAGGAGGCATGGGGGGCGCCTGGTGGAGGGGCCACAGGGGCTGCCCAGAGGAGGGAGTGTGGTGGGTCGCCCAGTGGAGGGGACGTGGAAGGGGTTCTTGGGGGAAGAATGATAGACCGCCTGGTGGAGTGGAGATGGGGGACCGCCCATCGGGGGAGCGCAGTGGGCTGCCCAGTGCAGGGTACATGGGGGGCTGTCTGGTGGAGGGTACATGGGGGGCGCCTGGTGGAGGAGGCACAGGGGCCTCTCATCAGGGGGAGTGTGGTGGGCTACCTGGTGGAGGAGGCTCAGAGGCCTCTCATCAAGGGGAGTAGGGTGGGCTGCCTGGTGGAGGGTACATGGGGGGCATGCCTGATAGAAGAGGCACGGGGGCCGCCCATCACAGGGAGCACAGTGGGCTGCCCAGTGGAGTGTACATGGGGGGCTGCCTGGTGGAGGGTACTTGGGGGGGCTCCTGGTGGAGGAGGCACAGGGGCCTCCCATCAGGGGGAGCATGGTGGGCTGCCTGATGGAGGAAAGTGCGGTGGCCCCCTGGTGGAGGAGACATGGGGGTGCGCCCTGTTGGGGGCAGGGCTTATCTGGTAAGAGCCAGAGCCAACACAGACGCTTCCTAATGACACACGGAGGCTCCTCCTGTCTCCCCGCTCCTGCCCTCAGGACAGTTTTCTAGCACTGTGGCCCTCTGGGGCCTCTACAGTGGCGTTTGGTCTGCCGGTCCCTTGTGAGGTAGTAGTGGTTGATGAGACCTCGGCACCGGGCATCGTTCCTCCAGAAAACTGCACTCAGGGCGCCAGGAAGGCAGCAAAGCCGGATGGAGGGGCATTTGCACCAGCTGAGGCCTGCAGCTTCCAGAGGCCCCTGTGAGCTCCGCGGCTGACCTCTGTGGTCAGGGTTTGGCATTCTTGTTTTCCTGAAATGGGTGGCTGGGGTTGTGAGACTTGCCCCGTGACGCTGGGGTCTGTGTTCAGAAGGTGTGTGGGTGATGCAGGCAGTAATGGGGAGCAGAGGCCGTTCTGTGTGCAGCAGGGAGGTCCGACTCTGCCTCTGCCCACGTTGGCCCTGGCAGCGTGATGAGCAGCCACGGGGCTGAAGGTGATTCCGGTGAAGCTCACGCTTCTAGCAGCAGTGGGCTCCTCCGCCTCTTGGTGCCTCGTTTATGACGGACTGATCGCTTCTTGGTGCCGTGTGGTTCTGGTGCGTTTTTGGACTTTCTCATGTTTTCAGTGCTGTTTGTTTTCTTTGAGGACATGCTGGCATTTATTAGGGGATGGGGAGGTCGTGTGTTGCCTGAGTCCCATCATCACCACTGTCATTCTTGTCATTGTAGAGAAACTGTATGGCAGCTTCTTGAGCTGGAAGCTGGAAGAGACCCTAGCCCAGTTGCCTCTGCAGCCGGGAGCGATGGCCGCCTTCACCGTCACTGTCAGCGCGAAGCTGGACTTCCCCTGCCAGGAGAGTCTGCTCCAGGACCTCAGCGACGGTGAGCTCCTTCCACGTTGATCGGCACTCGGTGGGCCCTGTCGGTGTGGTTGTGGTCGCCGCTCCTGGTGCCCGCTGCTCGGCCCCCGCCCTTGGCCTGGGTGCTCTGCTAGCAGCCTCTGTTGCTGAATCTGTCCGGGAGTGAGGAAAGTGCAGTCAGCAAAACGTTGCCTGCTCTGCCCTCTTCATGTCATTGTCACAGGAGGGCATCCTGAGTGGAGTCGGGAGCTCCTGCTGTTTTCAGGTAGGGCTGCTGCGCACCTCTGCCGGCTGTGGTGCCACGGTTCCTCGGGGTCTGGTGACGTGTCAGGAGCCCAGAGAAAGTGCAGCATTGAGTCAGTGATGATGCCTGGCCACCTACAGGACGGAGCTGAACTGGGCGGGCGTCTTCATGGGGCAGGTCACCACGGCCAGTGGAGTCGCTGGGTGGGTTCAAACCACCAGTCTTTTGTTTTGCAGCTGAGCACGTCCCCATTATGCCACCAGTGCTCCTAGTTGTGACGTCAGGACTAGCTGACTAGGGGTAAGATTCCATAGATGAACTATGTAACCTTCTGACTCGGGCTGTCATACACTCACGGAAGGCTGTCGGGGATTAACGGATTGGCCAGCAGATTCTCTCTCTGGTTTGTCCGTGGTGTAACTCTGGGCAAGTCTCTGCCTTACTGTCCAAATGTCTAATCACAGGTAGCGATGAGGTACGCCTACTACTATAAGGGTCATCGTGAGAGTTTGTCCTGGAACATGACCAGGCTCCATGCTGAGAAAACATTGGTGTCTCTCTGAGTCAGGCACATGGCTCGGGAAGCACGCCAGTGGGCGTGGCCTGTCCCCTGGAGAAGCAGAATCTGATCAGCTGACCCTGAAGAGGCTTCGTGAACGAGCTCACTTTCCACACAGCCACCCTGCAAGAGAGGTGCTCCTCCTGTCCCCGCCTTACAAACGAGGCCATTCAGGCACAGAGAGGTTGCATCACTCTTCCAAGGTCACACAGCGAGGAACTGCAGAGCTCGAGTGAGCTCGGAAGCCTTGCCTTGCTGGTCTGAGGCTCAGTCCGGCCAGTATGCGTGGGATGGCTGTGTGCTGGGCCTTAGGGACGTGGTTCCCACGCAGCACACTCTCTGCTCAGGGGCCCTCACAGAGTTGGTGTTGGACTTGGCTGGGACCATGAGATTTCCTAGGTGAACAAAGAGGAAAGGGGCCTTCAGGCCCGGGGAGCAGCCGGCCTAGTGGCCATCAGTTAGGAATTGGGGCTTTAGGTCCAGAGCAGAGGAGCACCTGCCCAGATATCTGTCTGTCTGTCTCTTCTCTTGGTGGCCAGTCTGTCCCAGCTTTACCTGCATGTCTAGGAAGGGATACTGTTACACTGAACACCAGAGACTGCAGCATTAGTTGTGGGTTTTGATTTCCTGAGACATCATCACCGACACTCATCCCCTCTCTGAGAGGTCCCCAGCCGCCTGACCCCATGGTCGCAGGAGCATGGCCAGCCCGTTGCTGCCTCAGGACCTTTGCATTCGCCTCTCCTGGCCTCCAAGGCTCTACTCCCACAGGCTTGCACAACTTGCCCTTATTATCCGGATCTCAGTCAAATGTCCCCTCCCCAGAGAGGCCGTGGTGACCGCTGTTGCCAAATCAGCACCTTCCATTCCTGTTTCATCCACGTTACTTACCTCACATCTCGCAGCCCCGGGAGTCGGCTTGTTGGTTTGTTCTGGTCGGTCTGTGTCCATCCTTTAGAACCCAAGTTCAGTAGGCCCAGGGCCGCCTCTGTCCCATCTCTGTTCAGTGCTGGACTTACGGGGCTGGAACGCGGTGGGACCAGAACTGCCGTGCACGCGTTTGCAGTGTCAGTCCGGGATGAGGGCAGTCCCCACTCAAGCTGGAGCTTCCAGGTTCCGTTCCTGTCCATTCTCCTGTCGACGTTGTCTCCTAACGTCTCCTCGTGGGGGTTGTGGGAGATCTCAGAGCTTGGAGTCAGAGCCATTTAGAAACTCCTTGTGCCGGGGTGCGTGACTGAACTGCTTTGTACATTTTTTTTTTCTTTTTAAATAATAGTGACTACAGTAAGATCTAAGGAGTTCTCGTGGCGCGGTGGTTAAGACATTTGGCTGGTAACGGAAAAGGTTAGTAGTTTGAACCCACCAACTGCTCTGTGGGAGAGAGACGAGCAGTCTGTTTCATAAAGATGACACCCGTGGCCACTGTCTGGGGAAGTTGCCCTCTGCTCTCTAGGGGCAATGTGGGTATGTTAAGACTGAACGTGTCCCTGTGTCAAGTTTGCTCTCCCTTACTCTGTGCGGTGTTTCAGTCACCATCGCGAGATTGCATAATGCTGGTGCTTCCTTAAACATCTTAAAGATCATCCACAAAGACAGGGAAGCAAGGTGACTGTCGGCCCCGTTACAGATGGGCAGTGTCAAGTACATTCAAATCATACGGGCACTTAAAGCAGTGAGATAGGTTTCTTTTGGATCTGCTTGTGAGCTGGTCTACTTTGTTGGAATGTGTTTTTCTATCAGTGGATGAAGGGTTAGAGAGGTTCTTACTGGTTTTTCTCAGGAAGGGAGTTTAGAGGAACAAATCCCGTGTGGTACCCACCCTGGGAATGCTTGCTTAGAGATTGTCCCAGGGGCTCTCTCCAGGTCGATAGACTTCCAGCTGAGGTGACTGGAAGGTGAGAAGGGGTGAGGGAGGGGACTGTGACTCTGCCCTGGCCAGCTGCTATCTGCTTTTCCCAGGAAGGCTGCAAAGGGGAACCTTTGCTCTTTGTTTGGTTGGTTAATTGGGTTTGTGGGTTCAATGCTGACCTATTTGTTACGTGGTTACATTTGTGCCTTTTGTTCTACAGGGGACTAGAGCATTCTCTCTGCCCTTCCAAGCTGAGAGTAAAACTGCACCTTGGGACTTGTGTCCTGGGAGTACCTCCTTCTGCCTTTTCAAATAAATCCAAGTCCAGTTGTTGTTGTTGGGTGGTGTTGAGTCTGCTCCAACTCACAGCGACCCCGTGCACAACAGAACGAAACACTGCCCGGTCCTGTGCCAGCCTCACAGTCCCTGCATACCTGAGCCCATCGTGGCAGCCACTGTGTCATTCCATCTCGTTGAGGGCCTTCCCCTTTTTCATTGACCCTCCACTTTACCAAGCATGACATCCTTCTCCAGGGACTGGTCCCTTCTGACAACACGACCAAAGTAGGTCAGACGAAGTCTGGCCATTCTGGCTTCCAAGGAGCACTCTGGCCGCACTTCTTCCAGGACAGACCTGTTAGTTCTTCTGACAGTCCACGGCGCTGTCAGTATTCTTCGCCAATACCACCCCTTAAAAGCATCGACTCTTCTGTCTTCTTTGCTCATCATCCAGCTTTCACGTGCATGTGAGGTGATCGGAAGTGCCGTGGCTGGGGTCAGGTGCCCTTTAGTCTTCAAGGAGACAGATTTGCTCTTCGCATTTGAAAGGGTCTTTTGCAGCCCTAGAGCTGGACCCTTGGTTACCAGGTGGTTCGTGAGTATGACTGGCTCATCCTCCTAATCTCTGGCCAGCTGGCGGGAGCATGTGGTGGTTGTTAATGAGATGCCACTTTCTGGTAACAGCTTACACATGCTCCAGTTGATTGTTCATAAGCAAATCATAGAATTCCAGACAAAAAACTTTTAAAAACGTTTTCCACCTCTTTTCTTACTGTGGCGGACACGTACACAGCATGACATTCTGCGGTTCGGTGGCTGCACACAGGTAGTTCAGGGACCTTGGTGACGTTCTGCGTCTTGTGCAGCCATTGTTGTTCTCCTTCTCCCAATCACGGATCCACCACCATTAACATGAACTCAGTGGAGGCAGCATGTTGGCGTCCCAGACCAGGGCACGTTCTCCAGAGGGCAGCCGTGGACATGAAGCTCCCACTGAACGTGGGCCCTGAAGGCTGCATGGGTCCCTGCAGTGAGTCTGCACTGTCCCCAGGCCACAGTTAAGCCCTTGGTTGGAGACAGTCTGTCATCTCAGCCCGCAGGCTGACCCACGCACGATGACCCACGGTGGCCATCCAATTGGGGGTCACATGTGGACTTGCCTCGTCTCTCAGGGGTGGGGTCACATCAGCTGTGGTCACTGAGATTAGACACAACAGTCCATGCAGCTGCCATGCAGACTGGCATGTGGGTCCCACCTGGGCTGTGGTAGATGGGAGGGCATATGGGTCCCACCTGGGCTGTGGTAGATGGGAGGGAATTCCTGTTTATTGACATCGTCAGATACTGTGTGTAAGGACTGGCTTGTCACTTTATTTACGTATCTCTGTTTCATCTTCCCAACAACTCTAAGTCGGTATCAGTATTATTGCCACTTTGTCACAGCAGGTGGGAAGAGTGCCCTAGATTAAGGGAGAGAGAAGGGAGAGAGCACCCAAAGACTGACCACCATCCTAACTGTGTCCTGGACTTAAAAAAAGACTGAAGACATTTTTAGGACCCCCCCCCCCCCAAAAAAAAAAGCATGAGAATGTAAATAAAGAGAAATAAAGCAAATGTGCCAAATTATTATTTATTTTAAATTAGTGACTCAAGATAAAGGGTACAGAGGTATTCATTTCTATTCTAAATTTTCTGTAAATTTGTTATTTTCAAAAATAAAGAGTAGGGCAGGAACTGTGGCTCGGTGGAGTGCTGCCCCTGTTGCGCTCTGCCTTCTGATTGGCCTCTCTGGAAGCCACTCTTCCCTTCTCTTCAAGGTCTTGGGAGCTATTTCTCTGTCCTTCTGACAACCAGCCTAGGACAGAAGAAGTCAGCTTTCCACCTAGAATGTGGTATGCCATTTCCTACCATCTTCACATTACCCAGGAGTCTCTGATGTGGTGGAATTTGTTTAGACATTTTGGAAATGGTGGGAAGGTGTCATAGGTTTTGGATATCATCCCATAAAATAGTGTGACCAACTAAGATAGAAAAAAGATACCCACAGGCCACATGTGTAGCAGCTCCCAAATCCACTACCATTGAGTTGAT